AATGGCAGTGCAGTCGGATGTGGAAGCCAATCAGTATACATTGAAGTCATGTGTGGAGACCATAATGGCGGTCAAAAACTTTTCGCACCGGCTGCAGAGTAGGACAAATGAGTTGCAGCATTTAAACTCCCAGCTGGCTCTGCTCCAACGCATGTATAAGGATGCGCGAGCAGAGATAAGCGTGCTAAGGGCAGAAAACAAGGAGCTGAAGCGGAAGGCCACCGTGATGTTTCGATTTGGAGGTCCTCCATATGCTGCAGTGGAGGAGTATGGGGGAGTGAACGTGCTCGGTGGCGTAGGAAGCACGGAGGCAGCATCGTCAAGGGCCGCCCAGGACAGGGGCAAAAAGAAGAGACCGGCGGAATAGGCGAAGAAGTGAGGTCGGTTGGTGGCCGGCTGCAGAAAAGAAAACAAAGCTGTTGTGGTTTGTTGTTGTTGTTGTTGTTTTTTTTTTTTTTTTTTTTTTTTTTTTTTTTTTTTTTTTTGTGTAAAATTATGATCGGGGTTGATCCTCGGCATAAAAGAAATGACAAGTTTGTGGAAAGTTTTGTTTTGTTCTGTTTTTTTTTTTTTTTTTTTTTTTTTTTTTTTTTTTTTTTGGTTTTGGTTTTGGGTTGTTTTGTTGTGTTTAATAATAATAATAAGAATAAAAAAATAGATAAAGAAAAGAGAGAATATTTTTGAGTGGAGGATGTTGGGGGCGATGGTGGAATGTGCAAAAAGAAAAGATAAAAAAATAAAATAATGATTAAAAAAACAGTGATAGTGTGTGAAGCTGTGAGTGGGTTGATATAAAAAATAAAAGAAGGATTTGAAATACCATGCCATTGTCTCCGCACATGACATGTTTATGTATAATATATATATAAAACTATAATATATATATAGAACTCACATGGATGTTTATGTATAATATATATATAAAACTATAATATATATATAAAACTCACATGGTTTGACCTTAGATGACAGCCTGCCTACCATTACAACAAACCAAGCCGACAAAATCCTCAGAAAATCCCGCACCACGTGATGGACCACAGCCATACCTGCACTAGCCAGCTGGCCAGAACATGGGTGAGTGGTGATGATCTTCTGAGGGGTTTGAGACTTTTCCATAGCCTCACCATTCCCTTTCTTTTCTGCCTCTCCTCTGTTTCTTTTCTTTTCTTTTCTTTTCTTTTCTCTCTCATGATGGAGCCTTCTTCCACCAACTCTGTGAATGGCTTCCACTCCATTCCAATACCCCGTTGAATCTCCTCCTTGTTCTTTACCTTGCTCAATATCTGATGTGCTAGAGACTTGTTTCAGATCTTCAAATGGAAATAGAAGCCTCCCACCACTAGTCTCTTGCATCCCAAGCCCATCTAGAGAGAAATTAAGGGTAGGTTTGAATTCCTGCAGAGAAAACGCAGATGAGAAAATTGTGTTCTGATCCGACATCGGCATCGGCATCGGCATCGGCATCGGCACAAAGGAAGAATTCAACCCCCTTGAACAACTAATCCCAGTCAGAAGCTCCATAGCTTGATGAACTAGGCTGTGGTGGTGGGACCAGATCAGGAAGTTTCTTTGATGATGATGAAGATGGTGATGAAGGAGAGAGCGGGAAGTCGACCTTGATGTGGTTGTGGTGGTCTGATTGTGCATGATGCAGTGGAGTGAAGGCTTGTGTAGAGGTCCGGCAGGCGGCCAAGGCGAGACTGCCGCCCGCCGGTGAAGCAGAATGACTACTATGGAACTAGTCACCTCATGAACGTAGCAAGCAAGTGCATGTCACATCAAACGCATTTTTACCTGACATGACCGAATACTTACCTTAATTTGATTACCTTACAATACTCTAGAGATAGAAATACAAATTGATAAGATGGAAACCTTGGAAGATGAATATAATTAGTAAGAAATGTATAAGTGGAAGACATGCCTTGATAAAACAAACTAAAGAAGAGAAATACTTGAAGATTACTAAGAGTTAGGGGATACCTTAAGTTTAAGATTTGTCAATGCTAGAATGTGCCTATGCACTAATTGAAGAGCTTAAAGATCCTAAACTAATGTGCTCATCATTTTAATACTATATGTCATTTTGCCAAACAGGATTAGTGTTAATTAAGTAGGATTAATTAAGCTTAATCATGATTAATTAAGTTAAGCAAGATTAAGTTAAACCTTGATTAATAATAACTAAGGTTGATTAATTAAAATAATGACGAGGATTAAGAATTTGGTGAAGCAAACAAGTAGGTGATGGTACTGTAAGTTTTCTGAATGAAACTGTATATTCAATTGTGTGCTAATACAAAGAATACATTTGATTATATAGTAAACCTAACCCTAAGACTAAAAAGGAAACACTGCCATATATATACACCTATACAATCTCTCAAAAAAGGAAACACTGCCATATATATAAACCTAACTTAATATTCTAGGTGTTGTAGCAAAAAACACTGAGAGTTTGCTAAGAAGAAACTGAAACCGAGTAATAGTGTGAGTCTTAGTAAAAAAGTCAGTAAGTTACAAAGCCGAAGAAACGAAAGGAAGCGAGATAAAGTCAAACTGCAGATGCTGACATACAAAGTGACAATCAATCTCGATGTGCTTTGTTCACTCACGGAAGATAGTGTTATGGGCAATATGAATAACACTACGGTTATCACAATAAAGGGAGGTTGGAGAAGACTGAGGGACGCCCAAGTCAAAGAGAAGACAACAAAGACAGACAACTTCAGCAGTCGTGTGAGCCATAGCACAGTACTCAGCTTCGGCAGTAGCATGAGCAACAACAGTTTGTTTCTTACTTTTTCAAGAAATCAAGGAATCGCCAAGAAAGATACAAAAACCAGAAGTGGACTTACGATCTATAACATCACCAACCCAATCAGCATCGGCATAGGGGACTAAAGCCAAGGAAGAAGCAGAGGACAACAGCAATCCTTGGAAGATAGTATCGTGAAGATAGTGAAAAATCCAAACCAAAACAGCCCAATGTGTAGAACGAGGAGCAGAAACAAATTGACTAACCACATGAATAGCATAGGTAAGATCGGTACGAGTAATCGTCAGATAGATTAAGCAACCCACAAGCTCCCAATATAAAGTACGATCAGGTAGAGGAATACCATCAGTAGTATTAAATTTCACATTAAGCTCAATGGGGGTATCACAATCTTAGTGTCAGTAAGACCGGCATGGTAAATAACCTCATTTGCATACTTAGCCTAAGACAGACTAATGGAAAGAGACTAATGGAGGTCAAGGGAGAGGGACTTATCAAGTGGGTTGGAACAAGAAGAAGATAGAGCAAGCTCATGGGGAACAACAGAGATGTACTCATCAGGAGGGACCTCAGAAGGAAATGGATTAATATGAACCAAATCTTCTTTGCAAACTGGGGTAGTGAGAGAAGGAAGTTGAGTGAGGTTGTAACCCAAAAAGACACACAGGACAGACCGGGCACTCAATTTAGTCCTATCTTTATGGGGTAAAAGGACCAAACAAGTAGCCCCAAACACACGAAAGAGGGAGCAATTGGGAAGTTGAGAAAACAAAGCCTCATAAGGAGACCGACCCAAGAGAAGAGGAGTAGGCATATAGTTGAGAAGAAAAGCAACTAATAAGAACTGTCTCACCCCCAAACGGAGCTGGAACAGAGGCAGAGAGAATGAGAGACTTAGCTGTCTTAAGAAGATGACGGTTGTTAGGAATTACCATTCCTAACCAAGATCGGTGAGACACGAAATAATAAACAAGGAAGAAAAAATGAATCAAACAAATCACACACACAAGAACACAAGGATTTACGTGGTTCACCTTAGAATAGGGCTACGTCCACGACTGCTGCAATTTTCACTATGACACAAAAAATACAACTCTCTTTTAACGTAAAAGAAGCTCCCCCTCATGTATTTATAAGTATAGAATTAGGATTACACAGAAGCAACATGTGAATTACGAAAGTACCCAAAAAATTTCGGCAAAAAAAAAAACTCAGGACCTGATTGACATGGCTATAGTTTGTCAAGAAATCAGTTTAGAAAGAAAAACTCGGAAGGAATTAGGACAAGGTTTACTTAAGCTAATAAATGTTGACTCGCTGTGCAAAGGAGAATATGTAGTAGGCACGGATACGGAATACGGGTATGATATGATACGGATATGACAATACGATAAAATTTGAAAAAATAAGATACGGATATGGCAGAAATACGTTCATAAAAAATATTATTTTTACAATTTTTAATAATGTAGCATGCATAAAAATAAAACTTCAACAATTTTTAGTAATGTAGCATACATAAAATAAAACTTCAACAATTTTTAGTAATGTAACATACATAAAAATAAAACTTATTCAATTTTTAGTTCTTTTAAACTAATAATCTAAAATTGTTTTATTTAGCACAAAAAAAAATCTAATATTTAGCACAGTAATTAATTTACAAACCATAATGATATTTTTTGCAAAAAAAAAAAATGTGATAATTTATTTAGCCAAATAGGTTCAACTTTTTTCATAACCAAACACATTTACAACTTATTTTAATTCTTTTAAACTAATAATCTAAAATTTTAAAAGTATAAAAGCTAACATATAAATGATATCAAATGGCAATGTGAAAACATAAAATTTCTTAGTTTTCATTTTTAGAATCTGTAAATTTTACTAGAGAAATTGAGAAAAAAATTTCCCCTATAATCTCAAATTTAATATTGATTTCATATTATAGATCTTAAAGAATAAAGAGTATATTTTAAATTAAAAAAAAAAAAAAAAAAAAGAAAGAAAGAAAAAAGAAAAAAATTGTGTATTATAAAAGCAGCAACAGCCAACAGGAGATTGAAAGAAAGAGAGAAGAGCAAGACGAGACGAAAGAGGAAGAGGGAGAGATCGAGCGAGAGCGAAAGAGAGAGTGAGTGAGATCGAGTTTATCAGTCCAGAGAGATCGAGCGAGAGCGAGAGGGAGTGTGTATGCATTAATTGGTAGCCAACCTCATTTGATGAGACTTAAGGCTTAGTTTGGTTTGGTTTGGTTTGATAATTTTTGCATAAATTGGTTGGTCTTTTGACTGATTTTAATTATTTTATCAATATATATTATTTTATTTCTAAAAGGAATAGTTAAGTTTTATGACATTCTTTAACATAAAATAATCTAAAATTAAAAAATTTATAAAATGAAATTTATTTTGATTTTATCCCCATTATAATTTTTTTAATTTTTTTTTTCGCCCCGCCGTATCCCTAAAGTATCCGAGCGTATCCCAAATGTATCCGAAATTCAAAAAATTAAAAAAAAAAATAGGATACTTATTTGCCGTATCCGATACATATCCCGCCATATCGGACGTGAATCCGTATCCGATACGCGTACGGGGCCATTTCGGAGTATCTGTTCTTCATAGGGTGTATTAGTACAGAAAGTCTGGTGAATGGTTACCTAAATTGGCCAAATACTCACAGAACTCAGTTTTAAAATATTCTCCACCCAAGTCGGGCCATAATAATTTAATAGTAGATAAAAACTGTGTAGTGACCATAGACTGAAAAGTACAGTATATATGGTAAAAGTCAAGACTTATGAGTCATAAGATAAACTCAAGTGTAACGAATATAGCCATCAACAAATGACACATAGTATTCAGAACCCCCTTTAGTGAGAGTAGGAGAAGGATCCCAGACATATATATGAACTAAAGAAAACGGTGCATCAGATATAGAAGTACTTTTATGGAAAGGTAAGATTGTCATTTTGTTAAGTTTAAACCCCCAACACTCGTTAAGTTGACTAGGAGAAACTTTATCCAATACACCTGACTGAGCTAATGACTGTAGGCGGTCAGTAGACAAATGCCCTAATCTGGAATGCCACAAATAGAAAGAACTTGACGGAGAATTTAACTGAAAAGAGAGAAAGGCAATTGGAGAGGTAGTTATAGCCAGATGCCAGCTCTCCACCACATAGAGGTTTCCAATTCTACGGCCAATCCCAATCTGCCGCTTGGACATCCAATCCTGCATAGAGCAGATAGAAGAAGAATAGATAACATCAAAACCGGAGACATCAAGCTGATTTATAGATAATAAACTGACAAATAACTGAGAAACATATAAGACAGATAGAATAGAGACAGTAGACATAACAGACAGTAGGATAGACCCGACAAATATTATAGACATACCAAACCCATTAGCAGCATTGACAGTAATAGAAAAGGGAGGAGTACAATTTTGGAGTAAGGAGAGATGAGGAGTTATATGATGAGAGACACCAGAGTAAAAAATCCAAATAGACGAAGAGATACCTGAAGAAGATCCAAGCAAACCTGAATGAAGAGAGGAAACAATTGAGGCAAACGGGAAGGGATGGAAGGTAGACAATATATGCTGAAGCTGAGCAATCGGAGCACTCAAGGAAGCCAAGTCAAGATCAAGATCAAGATCAAGAACTGAAGTAGATGCAGTATAAGCGACAGGAGCCTGAAAATTACTCGGAGGAGAAGGGCAAAACTGGGTCTGAGACTGCTAAGAGGATGCAGCAGACAGACATCTCTTCTTGGGATAGTGATACTTCCAATGACCCGCCTGTTGGTAGAAGGCACACTCATCTGAAGCCAGTGACCTTTGGGGGTTGTAGTGTAATAAGCCTGAACACTAGGGTATTAAGTATAATACCCAAGCAGAATCTGAGAACAATAGTACTATATCACAGAGCAAATCAAGGACTAGAGACAGCCTGAAGGAGACGAACAGCCAAATCAAGAACCAGAGAGAGTCTGAAGGAAAACTAGAATCCGAAGTCAAAGTCAGAGATGTATGAGTGCGAACACAATCGCGAACCAGATGCAAAGAGAGAGAATTGTGATGCTGATGTTCACGAGCTAGAAACCACAGGGGTTAACCACAAAGGCAAGCCAAAGAAAGAAGACGAGCTGCAAGGAGTCGACGACTAGATGAGTTAAACCGCTGGACGGTGCAACTACCAGATAGCACGAACAAAGAGGAAATCCAGATGGGCCGACTAAGACGAGGCACAATCACAAGCAAATGGGTCACAAACAGATGAGTGATAGGTCACACACCCAAGTCGAACCAGAATGAGCCTGAGAGAAGAAAGCACGAATACGAACAAGAGTGCAATGGTGACGGCTCTAGGGTTTCGGATCATAGAGCGGCTCTGATACCATGTAAGTTTTCTGAATGAAACTGTATATTCAATTGTGTGCTAATACAAAGAATATATCTGATTATATAGTAAACCTAATCCTAAAACTAAAAAAGAAACACTGCTATAATTATACACTTAAAATACTGCCATAGTAAACCTAACCCTAAGAATAAAAAGGAAACACTGCCATATAAATACACCTATACAATCTCTCAGAAAAGGAATCACTGCCATATATATAAATCTAACATAATATTCTCATAGGTACACCTCCCTTTTTGTCCCACCTAGCCCTTGTTTTTGCTAGCTTTTTGTCTTACCTTTAAATAGAACCAAATCAAGAATTAAAAGGGAGAAAAATCTGATGGAGAAAGAAAAGGCTAGAAGAAAGGAGAAGAAAGGAGAAAGAAAAAGAGAGTTTCAAGAAATTCATCAAAATTCATCCTTCAATCATTCTAAGGTGAGATTTCAACTCTAATTCTTGTAGTGATCCCTCCTAACACCTAAGATTGAGAAGAAATTAGAATTAATATGAGTTAGTAATGGAGTTATGGAAGAAAGAAAGAAGAAAAGATGAATAAGTTGAAGAACAAGCTAGGTGGCTTAGGTTTTTAACATTCTAATCTTGATTTTGATATTCTTGATGCATTAGAAGTTTCATCTTCATGTTTTCATTATATCTCTAAGAAGTTTTGCAAGTTTAATTTCATGTTTTGAAAGCTTAAAAAGATATGGTTTGAGTAAAAGCTAGAGTTCATAAATTCTCTAAGAAATCTTGTTGTTTGATCTTATTTTTGATGTTCTTGATAAAAGAAGCCTTGTTTTCATACTTCCCTACGATTTTCTAGAGTTTTTAAAAGCCTAAATTTTGGACACAAGCAAGAAATTTCGAACAGCCACTCCGCACATGCGGCCAGACCTTTCAGAAACCATTTTTGGGACTGCACAAAACCACACGTGCGGCCCTAATCCCTGCACATGTGGCACCCCTGTTTCAGCCCAACTTCAAATGGGCATATATCTCTCCCATCTGGACACGGTTTTAAGCGATTCTTAAGTCTAAATTCAAGCCTTGAAAGTCTAGTTTCCAATGGTGATGGTCTCACATCCAAATTCTAAGTATACAAAATGATATGTTTAAATTAGTGAAGGCTGCTCATTTCTTCCTAACCATTTCATACTAATTCCTCTCCTAGCTTTCCCTTTCATTTCTTCCTATTTCCTTAAACCTTAAACATCTAAACATGATATTTTTCAATGCAAAGCATACAAAATTGTTGTGGAATACTTAAGGCCCTTCAACGTACGTCTTTGGCACACTCCAATATTCATCAAGCCTTAATCACCTAGGATGCTTCTAGGCATGCATTTGACACTTCATTTAGACTAGGAATAAGCTTAGAAAGACCTTCAACAATCTAAGAAAATAATTAAGAAATATTAAGGTAAGTTTAGGCAATTGAATTGAAGTTAGAGCTTGCAAATTGAATTGTGTTCAATGCCTTCTTCATGTTCTATGTAGGTCAAGCATTTGGGGGAAGAAAACACCCTTGGTTCAAGAGCCATTTGTGAATAGTAGTGTAGTAAAGTTATGTTTAATAAGCTATGTTTCAAATGCAAAACCTATGTTATGTTTATGAAAGCTATGCTAATGATTTATCATGAATGAGCACCCTATGCTCTTCTATCATGTATGGAGATGATGTTAGAATATTCATTTATATATTTGTAATTATATGTTTCCTGATTTCATGCCTTAGGGCTCTTCTTGTAAGTTATGTTAATTAATATAAAAGGGAATGAATTGATATTCATTCACCAAGGTTTGATTTTACCTAAACAAACATGGTATCAGAGCCCAAACCCTAAACCCAGCTTCTTCCGCCACCTTCCATCACCACTGTGAAAAAAACCCATCTCCAGCCAACCCACCACCACCATTTTTCAGTCTCTCATTTAGCTATCTGGGGCTTGCGCACGCTGCAGCAGGCCTTCCAGGCTCAGCCGACAGCCGTTGGAGGCCATAGAGGCCAGGACGACACCAGTCAGAGGTAACCCAGGACCAGACGACTTCCGCTAGGGCTTGCGCACGCAGTAGCAAGCCTTCCAAGCTCAGCCGACAACCGTCGGAGGCCATCTAAGCCAGGACGAAGCCAGTCGGAGGTCACCCAGGACCCGACGCCTTCCATCAAAGTTCACCCAGGACTAGACGTCACCTTTTGGCAGTTCGACTGTCTGTTTAAGTCTAGTCGACAGTCTTTTTGTTCCTCTGTGGCTCTCGCATGTCTCTGTGAGGTTTGGTACTGATATACTGATCGTTAAAAAAAAAAAAAAAAAAAAAACTTGTTTTGATTGAGGAAAGTAAGGCAGAGCGTTCTGGAGAAGTAGTTGGCATACTTGATTCCACTCCAGCCCCAGTTGGCTTGTCCTCTGATAGGGTATCTGGCCTGTCTTCTTCTGAGTTTGAGGATGTTTTGCATCACTTGTTGAACCGCCAGTCTTCTGCCACTCCTCCGGATGCATCCTCTTCTTCATTTGCCCGATCAGGTAACTTCGCCTCTCGTCCCAGTGCTTTCCTATCCTATAAGTCTATCCCATGAGTTATTGATTCTAGTGCCTCAGATTATATGTCTAGATCTTCTGATCTTTTCTCCGACTATAAGCCCTCTTCAGGACACGACAAAGTTTGCATTGCAGATGGTACTATTTCTTCTGTCTCTGGAAAAGGTTTAATTCATGCCACTCCTACCCTTCCTCTCTCTTCAGTTTTACATGTTCCTAATTTCTCTGCTAATCTTTTATCCTTGAGTCATATTACTCAGGATTTGAATTGTAGTGTGACTTTTTTCCCTGATCA